AGAAGTAACCAATAAGAAAGGGAGGGGATAGCAGGGCAGGGGAATGTGAATCTTCAACAAGTAGTAAAGCATATATTGATAGAAAATAAAAATCTAGTGGTAAGTTGGTGCTAGTACATTTACATAGACAGAACCCACCTATGAAAAGAAAAAAAAAAGGGTTCCCTCCGTAAATTCCTATCCCTGTAGTAAGTTGGGGATATGTGTTTCCTGCCCCATTGCGTCATCTCTATTTAAGTCAGAGGGATGACTGGGAAATAAATACCTTGTCAACAGCTCTACAAGGTTTATTCCTTTCACTCTTCCAGATATTTCACCAAGGACATCCATGATTATTTCATGTATGAGCTCTGGTGCCTCTTTGTCAGGAGTAATATCGGAGTACCACAAATCTATCACAAAATCATGCAAAACCTTGTCAATAAACTCCTCTGCTGCTGCCTCTACGAGTGGAGAACCGATTTTCCTCTTCCATTTCAGTGTGGGTGGTGAGGTAGAAAGTCGGCTATCATTCACAGATAGCTGCTTCTTTTCTAAGTGCGCCAAGTATGTTGGTGGTCGGACATTCCGAACTTTCCAGCCGAACTCCACTTCATTAAACAATATGCGTGATCCAGAAACCAAGAGTAAAGCTATAGGTAGATTCATCCACATTGATGTACTGGTGTCTGCAATCAAGAGTTGAATCCAAAAAACAACCATGATGCAACAATAGAAAAGCAAATTGACGGTTGTGACAAGCAATTTACCACAAAAATTGCATGAATACACAGAAGTATGATAATTTACTCAAAGAAAGCATGTTGTTGAAGTATGACAGGTGGTAATCTATCAACGATTTTTTTCCCTTTTCCTTCTCCCCTTTTTTCTGAAAACTTTAATGAAAGTTACTTCATTTGTTGAAGTATAAAACAAATTTGAAGTAGCTGAAGTGGTCAATGGAACCACCCACCAGAAGACCACTGACATCATACCAAAACAAAAGGGGCAAAGAATTAATAATTTTGAGAGTTTTTCTTTTAAATCCAATCTCGTCCGAATTTCACAACAGCAGTTGAAGCTTCTCTGGTAGAAATTAAGGAACAAGACCAACAAAATGAGTGCATGTTTAAGCATTCTATAGTAACATCAAATTATAGTGCCAAAGCCACCCCAATGTAAAGGTCCAACAAACTCAGTAACCAATTATTATTTTATATTTTTTATTCAGTAAAGTATTTCATTAACAAAAGGCATCAAAAAGGTGCATAGTTACGACTTGCAATGAAAGAAAGATTGACAAAAGAAACTGAGATAAAGAAAAAGGAAGTAACCATTATTTTAATCTTCATTCCAAGAACAATACTCACGAAACCCCACCAAAGAACATCAAGAAACTGAATCTTTTAACGGCCATTGATCAAAAGAACGCCAAAAACATGCGCAATTATTGTGATAAAAACACTGTAAGTAATCCCATAACTTCATTGAGAGAAAATTGAATAGAACTTACGTGTTAAAAAGTAACAGACAGCAAATATACACAAACCCCACCAAACCGCTCGAACTTTTACTTCTTCGATCAGATCTTGAAGGGTCTCCATGGCCTTCATTGTGACCCCCCAAACCCTAGAATTCTTCCAAGAATTTGAAACCCAATTTAATCCCTAATGATAAAAAAAAAAACAAGAATCCGTTATCTACAGCATCAAAATTGATTGATTCATCAAGAATCTTGGTTACTAGTCAACAAGAATCATAAATTCTGAACCAAGAAAATTCTGGTTCCTCTGCTTTTGGCTGCTGCTGTGGAAGAGAGAGAAAAGAAGAAGAAAACGTGGGAAAAGAGAGGTGAAATCGTCGTTACCGGTTGGAAAACACGTTAGAGCCACCTTCGTTTTGGAGCTGGACAAGCTAGTGAATATTAATGTTGGATTTTAAATTCCACCATTGTCGGGGAAGGGGCGTTTTGACGATTTTACCCTCTACCGCATGCTAGAGCAAAATTTAAACTAAATTATTTTTTACAGGAATAGTTAGTGGTACTACTAATTGTGAATAGTGATCTACTTTTTTTTTTGTTTGTTTTATTATTATTATTTTATTTTAATAATTTATAATCATAGTTACTATCACAAAAATAATGTTTCTCCATCTCAAAAAGGATTTATGCATAATATTATTATCGTCTTTAGATTAAATTATTAATAGTAATTTATGATCATGATTTTATGACGATGAATATACTACTCATCTTCTTATCTTATCTTCCAAAAAAAAAAAAGGGGGGAGAGATAATATTGTTGCATATGTGGTGGGACCTAATCCAACTAAGCTGAAAATTATTAGTATTTAAAAAAAAGTGTTTTTCTTTCTAAAATGCTTCAAATAACTTTGAATAGTGATACTTTCTTTTATCTCAATTTATATAAATTTATTTGATCGGTCATACAATCTAAAAATAAAAATAAAGTTTTTAAAGCTTGTGATTCAAACAAATTATAAATATTTATATGGACTTGTTTATCCGGACGACTTATTTAGTCGAGTTAAAAAATTTCATTTTATAAATGAGCTTTAAAATGTTAGTTCAATCCCTAACAAATAATAGGTTGAATTAAGCATTCAATAAATCAAGCTTATATTGACGATTCTAGTTAGAAAATACAAAACTTCATCAACTTTGATAAAAAAATTCAAAATGTACAATTTTAGCCATATATATACAATTTGTCATTATAGAATTATTTTAATAGAGTATAAGATAAAAATTTAGATAGCCAATCAATTGAGGTATTAAACTATTATTTTTGTACCAACAGGTACAAATGTAAAGTCTTATTTTTCATCTTCTTTTTGTTTCTATCTTTTTAATCATTCAATTTACTTTGAATAAATTATAATTCTAGTAAAATACAATAACATATCGATTATATTGACTATATATTTTCTTATAAATAGAGCATGAAGAGGGTGGGTATATATATATTTTATTCTTATTTTATAAGATAGAAAAGTTGTTTTAATAAATTTTCAATTTAAAAAATAAATTTGTCAGTAAAAATGATTTGAATCATATGCAATAGTAGTAAGACGTATGATTAAACAAATAAAGAAAGAAAAGTACCAATAATACAAACAATTAAAGATGGTAAAAATAGATGAAATAACAGTAGTAATAGACTTGAAATATAAGATAATGTTAGTATATGAACAATAATAATGGTAGGTACCAACATGGGTTGTGGTGCATGATGAGAGTGTTTTACCCTTAACCAGAGGCTCGGATTCGAGCCCTGGATATGAAGAAAATCTTGTTGGGAGCTCTAATGTGGGCGGAAACCGGGTGGGAAATCAAAAAAAAAATACTGATAGGAAAATAGATAACTCCACCAAACTAGAATGTTCTACCAATGTGAAGAGCGAAGACGTTTTACTATCTAATAGTCATATACCCTAAATCATGTTCTTTATTGTGACACCTCGATTCCATTTCGATCTATCTCTATCTCTCCTTAAATATGTTATTAAAGTCAATCTCTCACACTTTTTTATTGGATCAATTTGTACTCTTTCTCTTCACATGTCCGAACCATCTCAATCTCATTTTTCACATCTTTTCGTTACGATAGCTACTTCCATCTTACCCCTGCATATCTTTGTTCCATTTTTTTCTATTTTAATATGCCTACATTGAACAACAAAACCGACCCAACAACCACTCTATATAAATTATTTTTAATTCTCAGCTATATGTTTTTGTGACATAAAACATGGGATTCAAGCCTCTATTTCATACATTACATTCCAATACATTGTACGACATACTCACGATCTCTCCATTTTCTTAAATTGTCGACCCCATATACTTAAAAGCTCTCTATTTTAAGGATGACTTGTGTATCAAAAATAACATCTTCACCCAACCTCTTGTGATGCGACAATGAACTCGTACTTATGTAGTATGCTTTAGTCCTACTCAATCTAAAATATTTAAACTCTAGTTACTTTTTTATTATAGCTTATCAATTATTTTTTTGTGGTACAATTAACAAACATGTTACTTTCTCCATTTCGTTTTACTTTTCTTTTTAATCTATTTTAATAAGAATGTCTTTTTTCCTTTTTGACAATTCTTTAATTTCAACTTTTTACATGACATGTTTTTAAATACAAAATTATATTAAAGACACATTTTGATACTACTTACATATCTTTAGTCTGAAACTACAAAAAAAACATTTTTTTTAAAACTTTTTTTGAATTTACACTAAGAGGGTGTTTGGATTATCGTAAAAGTTGGTCAAACCTAGTTTAAGTCAGTTTTTGACTTCTGAAAGTGTTTGACAAATATAAAAAAAAATAACTTAAAATAATTCAAAAATTGACTTAAAATAAGTTAGGAAGTGTTTGACAAAACAAAAAATGACTTATAATAAATTAAAAATGACTTAAAATAAATCAGAAACCAAAAGTAGATCTCCACTTACATTATTTTTTTCAACTTAAAAGTCATTTCAGTTTGATTTTTTTTTTTTTGACTTAATTTTTTTTTTATTTTAAAGTCAATTCAAAAGAACTTTAAATTAAAATTAAATAAATAAATTAAAACGGAGGGAGTATTTTGCATTGATCAAGATAAGTATCTAGAGAAAAAAAACTTTTACGAAAAAGACCGGTAATAAGAAATTTCTTTCTTTTGCATCAAGACAAATTACAAAGTTGAAAAAAAGCAAAAAGTAGAAAAAGAAACTTGTGGGCTCATAAAAAATATCTTTAAAATTTCCACATACCGTATTACTACAATAAAAATATCCCAGGCCGCCCGCCGCATCCTTCGTTTCCTCTTATACGATCGCCAATCTGATCAAAATCGACGGCCAGGATTCATCTGTTATGAATCCAATCATCACTGGCAAGTAACATTATCTCTCTTTTTACAGAAAAAGTATTAAAAAATATCTCATCCTTATCCATTCCCAATTCCTTCTGACTTCTTCTTTTCTATTTATAAATATCCTTAAATTTTGATGATTTGTTATCTGGGTTTTTACAGAAACGATGATGTTACAATCAATGGCTCTCAATTCCTTATCTTCTTCTTCTTCTCTTGTTGGAGTTAATAATGAGCTTCATTCTTCAAGAACCCCATCTTCAAGATTTCAAGTAAATTCGTCGACAATTCGTTGTTGTTCAAGAAGTCATGCTTACATACCGAAGCTTGAGCCTTTTAGCAGAACCAAGTTTGATAGAGTTGTTAAAGATCCCCCTTTGATTGAAAAATCTGAAAATGAACTTGCGGGTATGTCCAGATCTTCTTTATTTGTTCGTCTATTTTATTGATTGTTAACGTTGTCTTAGTTTGTTTTAAGTTATTTTCTTGGATTTATCAGACACGAATTCAAGATTTGAAGTTAATGGGTTCTTGATCCGTCTCTGATTATTCATGAATCTTTTTTAATTTTCGCCATTCTTGAAGAAGAAAAGATTGTCCTTTTACAAGAAAATAGTGTGTTGGTACTAATTTTAAAAACCAGCTTTGCATGGAACTATAATTGGGGTTAAATACAACAACTATGTACGCAGTGTAATTGCACAAGTGCGGTTCGGGGAGGGTGGAGTATATGCAGCCGTACCCCTACTTATGAAGATAGTGAGGCTGTTTCTGATGGTTTTTCTATGTTTAAAGAATTGCTAAATATGGTTAATTAATTAAATCTTTGATTTATTCTAGTTTTTGTAGTTGTTAAATGACTCAAATCCATGTACATATTAACACCCGGAAATTGGAATGGAGGGAATATCTACTAACTGAACTTGATTCTTGTTGTCTAAAGTATTAGCTCTATCTGCTTGTTGAAATACTAATGGACTCTGTGTATGGTTATGTACAGATTATTGTTCTGTTCTAGACGGAGATGATTCTTATAGCTGCTGGCAAGCCTATTTTGAACTCAAAGATCTTGAAGTAAGTTCTTTATCAGCACACAATCATAGGTTCTTCAAATAAAATTCTGCAACAATCTTATTTGCCTGCGACTTGCTATTGTATTTATTATGTGTTGCTAGATAATAGGTTTTCCACTTGTGAGCTTACACTGGATATGTTGTTGTAAGGTATGTTGTTGTCAACAAATTAGTTAACCCCCTGTCCAGAGAATGGGTTATTGGGGTAAAATTTGCATTAGTTGTCAACTTAACCCGATGGTGTAAAATATTTAGATGTTATTAGTACACAAAACTTAAAACTCGAGGTTCAATATTTCCTTGGAACTATGTGGTAAAAGTTGATGAAAAAGAGCTAACAAAAATGTGTTTTCATTGTGTGTGTGTGTATATTAGGACCACATAAAGTAAGCTAACAATTCCATCTGAATTGTATTCTTAAGTTAGAAATGTCCATATAAACAATAATACTAGGTGATGTCTTCTTGTCTACCCGAGTCTGGGTGGGCATAGTTACTCGGCAGCTGCGCTGTGGAATTGCAAATTGACCTGGACATCACAGTTATTAAAGAAAAAGTTCATCAAGCCAATTACTTGTTGATTTTTTGTAAATCCAGTTTAAGTGATCTATTGTCCAAATATTGTAATGATCTTAAGCTATATTATGCGTAGCACCTTCCTACTCTGTTATTGAAAGGGATTTTGATTTTCTTTCCAGAAAGAAGCACCTAAGGAGGAGGTGGAGAGGCTAATACTTCAAGCAGGGGGAGTAAAAACTCTCATTGGCTGCTTACATGGAGTTTCAGACATGCACAAAGCCAAAAAGGAAAGCAAAGAATCAGCCAAAGCTGTTAATCTTGATGCACAACGGGCAAGAGGACCTTGTCCTATACCAGATGGATTGCCAAAGTCAAGAGAAGAGCTTGAAGAAGAGGAGAAAGCTAGAATGCCAGATTCACCCTATACCAAACTGCTCCGAGCCAAAGGAACGCACCCTGTTTGGTACTCGACTACACTTGACTACTGATATGGAGCTTCATAAAAAGAACGCTCTTTTGGAGCTTCAGATAATAAGGTCAAGCAATGGAATTGAATAGTATTCTTGGCCAATGTGGTAAAAATTATCTGGTGATGTATGTAATGTTAAGCCTGTGAGGATGTTATCACGTATTTTTGTTAGTGTTAGCATAAAATAGTGTGCTTTATCGGTAGGTTAGGAGTTGCCATTTGTTCTGAATGTAAATATGGTTTGTTTTTGAAAATTATAATAGCAGTGAAGTTTCTAAATACCCTTATGATCTTTTCTGGCTGGAGTCAAACTGATGCCCTTTCTTTCAGTTTTCTTGAAGTATACACACAAAATACCTCACTTTAAAAGAGTTTGGTGCACGAAGCATCTTGTATTCACGTAGAGTTTGATAAAGTACCTCACTCAGAGGGATGTGATGTGTATGCAGTTATGTAAGTAGCAGTGGTGACTGACTTCCTCCAAATTCCTATTTTTCTAGTAAATAAGTTGCAATTAAGGCCATAATTTTTTTTAATAGCATAAGCCTATTTTTGTTTGAAAATTCAATTAGTTTAGGGGTTACATAAGTCTAGTTTTTGGAAGTGATCTGCATTTGAAATCAGGTGGTGCGAACTGCTGCGAAGTATCTTTATGTTTACTTTGATTACTTTCCTAACGTGAATACATCCACTTTCCACTGTCATTTGCATTAGCCTCTGCCTAACTATTTCACAAAAGCCATTAAACTGTGAATTTAAGAATAAACAAGAGTAAGACACTTTGAAAGTCTCTAACTTTAATGGAAAAATCAACCAATTATTTACTAGCATAAAGAAAATAAAACATGTTTATGAAATAATGTCCATTTGTTTTAGACGGTAAATGAACTTGTGTAATTGGTGATTTTCCATTCTAATAGGTAAAGGATGGATCAAGAATAACTCTGTTCACTCATTTTTTTAATTCCAAGAAACTCAACTAACCGCTAAAATTTGTTTCAAGTTTATTTTGACCCTCCAAATTCTATGGTGCTCAAAATTCATGATAGCTTATCAACCATTAAATTTCCTTCCTTTGCCTACATATATAATACCCCCCATTTTGCTTTGAAGAATATATTACAATAAGCAGCCTTGGGCCTTACCCACAGGTGGACTTACAAACATGGTGGCCTTGGGTTGCTTTCTCTTTTTCCTTGTATCTTTCTGTTCTTTTTCTCCATCATATTTTGCATTATCTGATATTGAAGCTGCTTCTATTGCCCGTCGCCAACTTTTAGGTAACAATGGCGAGCTTCCAAATACATACGAGTCTGAAATGACCATTAACATGAAATTCGAAAATGCCAGGTTGAAGAAAGCTTATGTTGCTCTTCAGGCATGGAAGAAAGCTATTTACTCTGATCCAACAAACTTCACAGCTAATTGGGAGGGTAATAATGTATGTGCCTATAATGGTGTCTTTTGTGACAATGCTCTTGATGATCCCAACATCTCTGTTGTTGCTGGGATTGATCTTAACCATGCAGACATAGCTGGACATCTCCCTGTGGAGCTTGGCCTCTTGGCTGATGTGAGTCTCATCCACATTAATTCTAACAGATTTTGTGGAATCATTCCCAAGAGCATTAAAAATCTTACGCTTTTGGATGAGATTGATTTCAGCAACAATCGTTTCGTGGGGCCATTCCCTGATGTTGTTCTTGAGTTGCCTAAACTCAACTATCTTGATCTTAGGTTCAACAACTTTGAAGGTCAAGTGCCTTCCGCGCTATTTGAGAAGAATCTTGATGCAATATTGATCAACAATAACCGATTCCATTCCACCATCCCTGAAAGCTTGGGCAATTCCAATGCTTCCGTGGTGGTATTGGCAAATAACAAGTTCTATGGTTGCATCCCGAGCAGTATTGGTAAAATGGGCAACTCATTAGATGAGCTTGTATTCACCAACAATGAGCTCTCTGGTTGTTTGCCTGAAGAGATTACTAAGCTCACGAGCCTAACACTGTTCGATATTAGTGGAAATAAGTTTGTTGGATCGTTACCTCAGGATTTGAAATCGATGCAGAAAGTGGAAATCTTTGACATTGCATCGAACAAGTTCATGGGAAATGTTCCAAAGAACCTTTGCACGTTGCCTAGTTTGACGAATTTCACATTCTCTAAGAACTACTTTGAGAGCATGGATGAAACATGTACGCCATCACAGACGAAACAAGTTAAGATAGATGGTAATGAGAATTGTTTGGGGGGGAGATCAGAGCAGAGGACGGAGAAAGAGTGTTTCCCAGTAGTGAGCAAGCCTGTTGATTGCAGTAAAGGTCATTGCGGAGTTTCAAGGGAAGGGCAGAGTCCAAAAGATCCACCTAAAACCCTGACTCCTTCAAAACCAGCAACACCAACCACTCCAAAACCAAAGCCATCTCCACCACCACCAGTAGCCTCACCTCCTCCACCACCACCAGTGGCCTCACCTTCACCTCCCATCCACTCACCACCACCTCCAGTCCATTCACCACCACCACCACCGGTAGCATCACCTCCACCTCCAGTCCACTCACCACCACCACCACCAGTAGTATCACCTCCACCTCCAGTCCACTCACCACCACCACCACCAGTAGTATCACCTCCACCTCCAGTCCACTCACCACCACCACCACCAGTAGTATCACCTCCACCTCCAGTCCACTCACCACCACCACCACCACCTCCAGTCCACTCATCACCACCACCGGTAGCATCACCTCCACCTCCAGTCCACTCACCACCACCACCGGTCCACTCACCACCACCACCAGTTCAATCACCTCCACCTCCTGTCCACTCACCACCACCACCGGTTGCCTCACCTCCACCTCCCGTCCACTCACCACCACCACCGGTAGCATCACCTCCACCACCAGTCCACTCACCACCACCACCTGTTGCCTCACCTCCACCTCCAGTCCACTCACCACCGCCACCGGTAGCCTCACCTCCACCACCAGTCGCCTCACCACCGCCACCTGTAGCTTCACCTCCACCTGCTCCAGTATTCTCTCCTCCACCGCCAGTCCACTCACCACCACCACCACCAGCTCCGGTAATGTCTCCACCTCCACCCACTTTTGAGGATGTCGCTCTTCCCCCAACATTGGGCTCGCTATACGCCTCACCACCACCACCAATTTTCCAAGGTTATTAAGAAGTTCGCCATTAGGACTACTTAAAACAATGTGTACCAATCAATCTGTAAACACATATCAATTGAAAAAAAAACGTTTACATTATCAATTGTACACTGAAAAATTGGAAATTTGCTATTAGATGGTGCTGATTGAATAAATCATTCTGCAGTTTCAACATATTTCAGTATTTAAATCCTATCAATTATCTTCATTGAAAATGAGGCTGAAAGTCTTATCACTGATGTAACAGCTGCATCACATTTCATTTGTTGGTTACAAATTTGCGCTAAAAACATTGTAGGACCGCTTTATCCTTTTTGTATCGTGTTTATTTAAAAAAAAATGGAAAAAGTCAAAAATATCCTTAAATTATCTGAAATAGCTTATATTTACCCTTAAACTATATTTCAACTCAAAACTACCATTCTCGTCAAACTATTGGGTCAAAAGTACCCTTCTTATTAACGAAAGTTGTTAAATGTCATGTGGATGCCACATTGCATGTTAATACTAATTACTCTTTTTTTCCACTGCCACATAGATTAAATTCCTAAATTCTAATTACTCTTTTCCCCCCTCATTTCATTATTTTCCAGGAACGATTTCAACCCTTCTCCTTCATTGAAGTTTCGTTTTGTCCAGATTTTGTGATGATTTCCAGTTTTTACTTAATGTTTGGTAATGCATTTCTTCATTAGTTCTTTACTTAGTTTATGTCCAGCTTTAGTGAACTTTCTCTATTTCTTCATTAATTCTTTACTTAGTTTATTTCTAGCTATTGACCAACTCTGCTGGTTTTTAACAAACAACAAGCTAGTGTGCTTTGTGCTCAACATGTTTTGTATGAAGTTCAAATATTTGCTTCCACTGTTAATGTTCCTTATTTTGCAAATTAGTTTATCAAGTTACGATTGTTGGTGTTTTATTGCTGAATACTTTCTGGTTAGCGGTGATAAAGTTTACTTGTTCAATAACATACTTCAATGAGGGAGAAGGGCTGAAATTGTTTCTGAAAAATAATGAAATGAGGGAAAAAAATAGTAATTAGGATTTAGGGATTTAGTCTATGTGGCAGTGGAAAAAAAAGTAATTTGTATTGACATGCAATGTGACATCCACATGACATTTAACAACTTCCGTTAATAAGAAGGGTACTTTTGACTCAATAATTTGACGTGAAGAGTAGTTTTGAGCCGAAATATAGTTTAAGGGTAAATATGAGCTATTTCAGATAGTTTAAGAATATTTTTTACCTTTTTAAAAATAATAATAATCATGATCTCATATGTTCAAATTTCGCCAAAGACAATCACGGTAAGTTGATCTCTTTTGTTTGACGGATAAAGTTATCTCGTATTTATTGTTGATATTTGATCAAATATTGTGAAATTAGTTGGAGTGTGCACCAACTGTTATCAATTTAAAAAAAATTAATTTTGTCAAAACAAAAAGCACCTGACAGTGGTAACCTAATTTTTTGTGAGCCCAAATACAACGCCGGGTCGGGTCAGCAGTGCAGTGCAATGGTATTTTACGACGTCGCACCGTACTCATTTCGCCGTAAGAAGCACGTTTGAACTTTCACAACTAGATCGCGAAGATTATCAATTTGGTTATTCCTCTCAGCAATTTCCGGCGGTGAAAATCAATAGCTACATCGACGCTACGATCTTCTCAGATGGTGGACGACACGACGAAGCCTTCGACTGAAGAGATTGTTGAAAAGCAAGAAGAAGCTCAGCCACCTCCGGTACCAGAAGTCGCCGGCGGTGGTGGAGGATGGGGAGGATGGGGATTTTCTGCGTTTTCTTATATCTCGGACATTCAGAAAGCTGCTACCACCGCTGCCGAAGAGATCTCTCGCAATGTACTCATCTTTCCTAGCATTTGAACTCCAAATTTTTCCTTTTTTTGTTGCATTTGTTATGTAGCTGTTTTTATCTCGTTGATCTTGCTGTTTAGATTTACTTCGTTTTGACAGAATATATTAGCGTCGTTTCAAATGTAAGAAATTTGTTATATTTCTTTTGGGTACTAATGAGATGTGACAATGTTAGGCGCAACTTCACAAGTTATGTGAATGAGCTATGAGTAATTTCATCTTCAAAATTCTGGAAAAAAACAGTTTCTACTAGTTCTACGATCTGATATAGGAATTAGACAACTAGTGTGTTTAGAACTCCCCCTTTCAGTAATTTGGTACATATCACAAGTTTTGCAATGCCTCAACTGAAAGATGCCTAAGATTGCTATATGATATTAGTGATAATTGGGTATTCAGAGTATTTTGTATGAGGCTGGAGTTGGATAGAATTCCTAGGGGAGCATGTGTGGGTCTACATCATTTCTACAAGCTACTGTGATATCATTCTGTAATGATCATCAGCAACATTATAGTTGACGTTAGGTCTTTTTGTACTTGGAAAGTGTCATAGTGATGCAGAAACCCAAACAAAATCTTTTATATTTGGATACTGGTAAGCCTGTAGCTAATTTGTTGTACTATTTTCTCTGATGCACACCTGTGGCTGGTGTGCCTGTTTATTTAAGCAAGATGAATTATTGATAAGATCCCTTTAAATTTCTGTTTTGCAACGTAGTAGCATTATGGAATTTTGACAGGAGGAAACTGGAGAGGGTTTTCCTGGGAGGCAAAGATTAACTTCAACTGTTTTAGATTAAATTGACATTCATTGAAACCAGAACCAAATATTATCCATTCTGTAATTTAGTAACAACTTAATTCTAATTGGCATTTTGATTCTGTTAATAATTTTGTAGTTATCTGTTCTTGTCTCTGGAAGGAGCTCTAGGTAATTATGTATTGGTGCTTGAGAGTAGTACCGTAACTTGATATAATCCAAACATTAAGTCCTATCACTAGATTGCATGCCATTTGAATTTAGCTATTTCTTTTCCTTTTCACCTTCCATTTTTATAGGACTAGCCTACACTTTGTTTATTGAGCGTTAGAACAACAAAATGGGTTGAAGGCCCTCAGATTAATAAACTCTTGGTTGACAATTGTGGGTACTTGTTCTTTGTTGTTATGGAAGGATTGCACACTTAAACATACACCTTGAATAGCTCCATGCATTATATTTATATGTGTTTTCACTTTTGCAGGCCGTTGAAGCTGCTAAATCAGCTGCAAAGAGCCTTGCAGATGTGCAAAATGCTCTGGAAGACACCGAATCCTTGAAAGAGGATGAACGAGAAGTATTGGTTGAAGAGGAAAGTGAAGATGAGAATGACAAAAAACGCAAGGCTGCTCTTGAAAAATTAGAGAAAGCTAGTGAAGACTCATTGCTTGGTCAGGCAAGTGCTACCAAACTAGTTGTGCTGCTTACTTGACTCAATAGGGGATCCAATTTTTATTTTTTAAAAGTTCTTCTTGAGCATTGATATCCCTTCCACAATCGACCCCCATTTTCCGCTAATTTGTACAAAAGTATCTTAAGGTCAGAAGTAGATATGCTATAATTGTTTGGTATGGTCATGCTTTTAACCTTCTAAAATATGTGCAGGGTTTGAGAGTTATTGACCATTCAGTCGAGAATTTCGCTTCAGGAGCTTGGCAAGCATTAGGAAATGCATTCAAAGGAAGTTCTGATTTAGTCCACAAGTATGTCTTCTTGTGTATGATTGTGACATGACTGTTGAAAAAAACTAAATTTTACTTGATCAAAAGAAAAAAAAACTGATCGCAACATGATTGCTATTTTTCTTACTCCCGTTCTCTGGAACCTTCACCTCACAGGGGTGTTTACCCAGCTTCTTCAGAGCAAGTTTTTAGATTTATTTTATGCAGTTGCTCATCTTGTGTTTGAAAAGAATTGCTGTACTTAATGGAGCTGATTGTTGGGGGACAAAATGGGAGTTTGTTTTTGTTGACTTTTACAGTTTGTTGTGCTTAGTTTATTGTGGCAATGGATAAAATTTTATGATTTGACACATGAATTGATGAATATTTCCTCTGGCAAATTAGGTGAAAATATGACCTGGAGTAATAGAAATTTTATGTTTACATATATCGGAACTAAGAGAAGTAGTCACAAACTCCAACTGCCTGTAACATGGAAATTAAGAACCTTCCCATTAAGCATGAGAACTTTGTGCTCCTGCAATGTTAGTTTTGGAGTCCTCGTAAGTAGGAAAGGACAGTAGGACTGACTGATCTTCTTTTGTAAATTTGGACCCAACATAGAATTTTATGCTTATGAATATACTGTTACCAATTTCAGTTATCTGCTTATTCCTTTGTTGAGTAATGCCAAAGTTGCCAAGCAAATGTTATTTTGCCTTTTGTTTTCAGGCTTGAAAATTCGGCTGCAAGTATTGCTGAATCAGTTCAGCATGGTGGCTTACCTGCCACAACTGGTTCTGTTGCACCATCCATACTAGAGGTTTGCATAAGATCTGATTTTCTATTCTTTTTGGGCAGGTGGAGTGTGTTTTAGCTGCTATTTTTATTGTGAACAATTTCTTGCAGACTGGAAAAGCTTTTACTGCTAAAGGAATGCATGTGCTTGAGCTACTTGGAAAAGAAACTATGGATCTTCTGATCTCAGAAACTGGTATTAGAGTTGACCCAGGCTCCAAAGAAGGGGGAGGAGAAACAGATGAAGATCAGTTTTATGAAGAAGTTACATTTGATAGATGCTTTTATATTTATGGAGGTCCTGAGCAATTGGAGGTCAGTTCCTACTCATATTGATCTTTGTACTTGGTTGAGTTTGTTCTGGAAATCCAGTGTCTTATCATGTGAATTACATGCAGGAGTTGGAGGCATTGTCCAACCATTATGCTTTGTTGTTCAACAGAAGAAAAGCGAAAATTCCATCTGATCAAAGGTCTTCATATGATGGAAAACTTAAAGAGGTTCAACAGATTTTTGACCTGAGTTCTGAAGTATATGAAAGTGGTAAAGAGTCGGGAAAAGGAAAGGAAGTTGAAACTGGCATTGCAGACAGCACAGATGAGGTGAAGAATTTGCATGATTCTAGTGTGGACAAGGCTGCAGAATTGGCAGCAGGGTAAACATTGAACTTTAATATGCTTTACCTTTTAATTAATTTTCTTCTACTTTAATATGTTCTGGAGAAATATATGGAAACGGAGAGTATGTGATTGAAATGTTGACAGTTCATGAATCCAAGCACTAAGG